TGCAGGGTGTGAGTAGGAGCAGGTGCAGGGGCTGCGGAGGAGGGGTGCAGGGGCTGGGGAGGAAGGGGCAGGCCACGTGAGGGGCATGGTTGGGGGGGCACTGGAGGGCTGGGTGCAGGGCCCTGCAGGCTGTGGGGAGGTGATGTTGGCCCGAATGGGGAGGTTCCGGTTGTCCACTCAGAGCCACCTGGAAAGCGGGACAAATGCTCGGAAGGTGGTCCTTCTGGGCCCTCCTGCCGCAGCACCAGGCCCTGGGATGGCCCAGGCTTGAGGGTCCAGATGCTTTGGGTCCCAGCGCTGTGTCTGTCCCTTCCCGTGTCCTGGAACCTTGGGCCACAGCGCAGGTCTGCTCAGGGGGTTCTGTCGACTGCTGAGCTGAGGGCTGTCGGCCCCTTGGCTGGGCCTACGCGGACCCCGGCCATGTGGGGTCAGAGCCCTGCTGTGCAATCCCAAGTGGGGCCCCTCCCCCACACCCCACGTGTCCTGACCCTGAACATACTGGCGTGCTTGTCGGACATCCCGCATCTGCGACTCATGGGGGAGGTGATGGGAGGCTTGCGCGGCCCGACCGCGTGCGGTGTCCCCTGCAGCCTGTCTGAGTCACAGACGGCGTTAGCCTCCCCCAGCAGAGAAGGGCGCAGGTGTGTGCAGGTGTGCGACGTATGCAGATGGTGTCACGGTGAAGACCAGCACCTACTAAGTGCTTGTGCAGCCCACGACCGACACGGGTCCATGGGGTGGCACCTCAGTCGTCAGGAGACCCCGTGGGGTGGACACCACCACCCCTCCGCATGCGCGGGGTCCAGGCAACCGGATGTGCCCCCTCCCCTGGTCCCCAACCACACACAGAGTAACAGTCCACAAGCCCCACAGTGTCCATGCAGCCCACGTGCTGGTCTGGGCTCCAAGCAGTGGCTGCGGGGTTGAATTTCGCTTGAGCTGTGTGTCTGAGGGCCACTGCGCACCGACAGGGACACACATGCACATGCACACACAGGTCTACATGACCAACTATCCTTATTCTCAGTGACTTTCATGGATACAAATCTCCCTGAAAAAAATCACAAACAAAAATTCAAACACACCGCGCAGCGGGCCGGAAGCCATGGGCTGCCGGGAACGGAGGGTGAGACTCACCGCCTGCTCCGCGGGAGCCCACAGCACCTCATCGGGGGTCACAGGCCTCACCACGAGCTGGGGTTACAAACCACAGTACCTCCCATTCCTGTGACACATTTTGTTTTCTGTCGGCTTACACATGTGCCCTCACACGTACGAGGGAAACTGAGGCACGGGGTCAGGGAGCATCCTGCAACCTCCCAAGTGCAGTGCCTGCTGGGAGTGCTAGCTCGGCACCTCGTATGCGCTCTGCTCTGCCCGCGGGGCCACGGCCACAGTCTGGGCGGCACTCGGACCCCAGGTAAGCCGCTCCGCCTCCTTGGATGCCCGCCACAGCTTGGCCATCCCAGGGGCCTCTGAGGGGCTGGCGACCCCACGGGCCGTCTCTGAGCCAGGATCCCCGGGGCCGATGAGGACTTTGCACATCCAGCATCAAGTCGTTCTGGGAGACGCGTGAAAGGACAGGTTATCAATGACTAACGAGCTCATTCCCTCACCGCAGGGACGGTAAGCGTGGATGGCATTTACCACTGCACGCCCGGCCCGTAGCGGGTGCCCCCAAGACACGCCGAGGGAACCCGTCCTCCGCTGTCTGCCCGACGCCCCGTGGCAGCTCATTCCATCCCCGACATGCGTTTCCTTGGCTTCTGTCCCACTCTGCGTCTCCCTGGGGCCGGGCTGGCCCTGCCACTTCTCCACTACCGGCCAGTGAGGGACAGAGACTCGGCGGCCCCGCTGTCCCTGCCCCGTTCAGAGGCCCGCACTGACTGTGACCGCATGCCTGGCACCGCCTTCCGTCTTCCCCGGACTTGTTGAACCTGCGCTGGGGTCGCTCTGGACGACGCACCGGCCTGTGGCACGGGCCTCTGCTTCCAGCACTGCCTGACCTACGGGGCCTCTCCAGGCCCTCCCGTGGGGCCGCGTGCTGAGCGCCGTGGGGGAGTCACCATGGGAGACCTTCCCGCCTGGAAACTCACCTTCAGTTCTGGGGGCTTTTCCTGGGATTACTGGCTGGAGACCCCTCTGTTCCCCCTCCCACGCCCCCCTTCCCGGGCTCCTGTTGGCCAAGTGCCTCCCCTTCGGCACTTCCTTTCCTGTGTCCCATCTCCGTGCTGAGGAGCCATACTTTCTGGCGGTTTCCCTGAGCCTTCGCGAGGCCCTGGCCCCTCCCTCAGTCCTGGGACTCCTTGTGTGGGTTGGTCGCCACGATACAGTAGCTTGCGTGCACGTCACAGCCGTGGTGCCTCGCAGAGGGCGGGAAAGGGGGTCTCTTGTCCAGGACACACAGACTCTGGGGGGCCTGGTGGCCGTGAGACTGGGTTTTAGCATCCCCAGGGAAGCACCTGGGAAGGGGGAGGCACAGGGCGTGGAGATGGGGAGAAGGTTCTAGAACCAGGCTGGCGCCTGCAGGGTGAGAGCCCTGGGTCAGGCCCGCTCTCAGCTGTCCTTTCTGCCGTGTCACCGGCCACCAGTCCACCTGGGGTCTGTCTCTTCGGCCTGCCGACTGTGCTGTTTTGGCTGCATCTTCTCCCGGCTCGTCGGTTCTGGCATCATTTTAAATCCTTTACAACACCCCGAACCCGGCACCCGATGGGAACAAAATGGTGGTGTGCCACAGTCTACACGAAATTTCCCTCTGCCCCCACTATCCGCAGGCTTCAGGCACAGTCGCCCTCCCGCTGCCGGGGGCCCGGTGCCTGGTGCCTGGAGCCGCGACTGCCCCGCGGGACGGCTCCCTCCTCAGCCGCCTGCCGCCAGAGGGCCAGGAAACCAGCCTCCTCCACGGTGTCTCGGGAAAGTGCAGTGAACACGCGCATCCAGCTCCCGGGGTGGAGACCGCAGCACAGGCCTCACGGTTAGCTTCCGCCCGATGACGGGACCTCGGGCTGCCTTCACGCTCTAACGTTTGTCTCAGAAGCTTCTGGTCCCGGACCAGGGGGTGTGGCGGGAAGGACGTGGCACCCTTGTGCTCCCACCCTCTGCTCTTCAGAAGCAGGCAGCTAGTCTGTGTTAAAATCTAGGCTCGGTCAGTGGGAGACGGGTCCAGAGAAGTTTCATTCTCAGACGTCCAACCAAGCCGCCTCCCTGCAGCCTAACAGGCGTGGGAGCTGCCACATCCTCCCGGCCTGGCCAGGTGGCCTCCTCTGGGTGTCAGGGCTCCAGGTCCCGAGATGTCACTGCCCCGGCGGGGACTTAGACTGCAGACACCTCTGGGGAGGGTTTCTGCTGGTGGCACCGCAGGTCCTGCTGCCCTTGGTGACCAGCAGGTCTTACAGCCACATTTGCCCACCCCCCCGACTGGGTCCTTCCAGCTCTGCAGGTCCCCCTCCAGCTCTGCGGGTCCCCCTCCGGCTCTGTGGGTCCCCCTCTGGCTCTGTGGGTCCCCCTCCGGCTCTGTGGGTCCCCCTCCGGCTCTGTGGGTCCCCCTCCGGCTCTGTCGGTCCCCCTCTGGCTCTGTGGGTCCCTCCAGCATGGTTAGCTCTGGTGATCGAGGCACTTGTGCTCTGGGGTCCCAGGCAGCATGGCCTCACCTGAACCCAGCAGAGCCTCTGCCCTGGACAGTGCATTTCAAACAGAAGAGAGAGGGTGACATCTTTGTTTAGAAGTCCAGTGGCTGACACCCATTCATTTGGGCATCAGAGATGAGTGTCTCCACTGGACGGTCACTGCACTTGTGCCTTGGAAATCGATCGTCTCCTGGTTCCTGGAGTCGTCTCTGCACGTCCAGATGGCTGGCGCTGGACCCGCTGAGCCCGTCAAACTGGTTTCACGTCAGGCAGGCTCCGGGCCGAGTGGACATTCAGCTGCCATCTTTAAACACAGGCTTCTCCCAAATGCAGATTCCAGAAGTGGGTGGAAAGCTCCAGTGACTTCCTGATGGCGGCGGCCCGAGCGCGATGTGGATATACTTAGCACCAGGGTGACAGCTCCCTCCCCGGGAAGACAGCCGTGGGCGCTAATGGGCACCAGCTGCCGTTCCAAACCTCTGTTCTGTTGGTGGGTTCCAGAGACCGTGCTTACATCCTGTGAGTAGCAAAACAGCAGTAAACACCCATCACTTCTAAAGAACCTTGCAGACCCTCCCCAGGCCTCCGCCTAAGAGCCTTCGTCCCCTGAGCACGACCTCGGAGGGGGTGGGGTGAGACGAGAGGTGAGTTTGTTAATCAGTTGTCCCAGAAAGGGTCAGAGATGGAGCCTATGGAATAAAACCCATAGAGTGAAGGGAAAACAAAATATCCCAACCAGAGAAAATGGGAGGTGGAACGGAGGTCCAAGGGGACACATGGGGCCCAGATTCGTGGCCCTCCGGGCTCACGTGTGGGCTGAGATTTCAGGTCTGAAGAGCCCTGGGAGACAGCCCACCGCTGTGCCCAGGAGGAGAGTCCGTCCTCAGCCCCCACGCGTCAGTCCGGCCCAACGCAGAGCTGGGGAGCATGCAGAGCCCCCCGGAAAGCGCTCTCTCAGGGAGGAGAAAAAGGCGTACACGTCTGCCGTCCGCCCCGCGGGAGGGCCCCTGACGCTCCTTCCCAGGAGGCCGTGGGGCCTCAGCAGGAATTTGTGCACATTTTCTCTGTGTTTTGGGATGGGACGCTGCCCAGAGCTGCCTCAGATGCAGCCGGGAACGGGTCTGGCTCAGTGTCGGCCCAGGAGGAGACTCCTACGGAGCCTGATGGTTGAATCAGGAGCAAGTGCTCTGCATGGCGGGGGGTCAGTCTTGAGAGGGAAACCCCAGGGCTCCAAACTTGGATCTGCTCGGAACCTATTTCAACAAATGCTGTCTTCTACATTAACTTTTCGAAACGGTCTCCACCCCATTTAGTGAGGAACCCGTGGTTTTGCCGAGGATCTGAACCGAGCACCTGTGTGATGTCTGCTCGTCTTTGGGCCCCCCTCGGGGCTGACCCGGCCCTGCCACTGGCCTGTCCCAAGCGCGTCCCACACTGTTTCAATGTTACAGACCTTGAACTGACCTGGCAGCACAAATCCTGCCCACAACTGGAAGGTCTTTGGTTTGTTTTATTTTGCCATTCTTGTACTTTTCCAAGAAGAAGAGTCCCAATGCCAAGGCACGCGCCCGCTCCCGCTCCCATTGTGCTCACGGTCTTCTGGCCGAGCGGCCTGGAAACTGCTCATCATCAGGCCCAGCCCCCCAGGCCATTGCCGGAGGGTCTCGCGAGGGGCCTCCACTGTCCAGACACCCGGCCGCGTGTCCCTGCACCTGCGAGGTTTCCACAAGAATAGGGAAGGGGAAACTTCTGGTTTTTCTCTGAAAGGGGAAGCTTGGACCCATCATGAGTGTTTTCAGTCAGTTTCTTGTTTCTGCTTTCTCCAGAAATAGTTCCCGGCTGGTGAGCCAGACTGACGTCGCAGACCCGACACTCACACAGGGAAGCCCCTCTTTGCCCTGAAGCACCCACGTGTTGGATCAAAGGCTCCTTCACGAGTCAATGAATTAAACGTTTACAAAACTGCTTGTTGGTCTCCTGAATCAGAGCTGGGACACGTGTTTGCTCTCAAAAGCAGAATGTTGCCATTTTTTTAAATATTCTCTTTGATACAGAAGCTTGGGCTTTAGATAGAAATCTGATAACATTGCGTTTCCTCAGTGGGGATGCGGTCCTGAAAGTGCAACAAACAGTGGCACCTGCTACGAGCCGTCCTCTGAAGACTGTGAACTGACAAATCTTTATAAGACGTCATGGCAGAAATCTCCTTGTGTAGTGCCATTTCGTATGGTTTTTAAAGACATATGAAAGTAACGCTAACTTTCGAATTGTACCCCGCGGTATCCTTAGATTGCTGTCAGTTCAAACTCACTTATATAATAATATAATCAGGAGACTTCTTGGCTCCTATAGCTGACAGGTCCAGAGGATCAGGCTTCAGGGATGGTTTGATCTAGCAGCTCAATGATGACATCAGTTCTACCTCATCCTGTTCTACCTCATCACAAGGGGGTTTCTGACAGCAACTGATCCATGAGAGTGAGGGTCCCCCGTCCCATATCAGATAGAGGCCAGATCTGGAGGGTCGCTCCACCAGACTAACTTTAGGCCACATCTCCACCTGGGACTAGTCACAATGGCAGGGGAGAGTTCCGAGCTGGACAGCGCCCCTGAGGCTAGGGCTGGCTTGGCCTTCCCAAACACCATGTATGTATCACACAGGTGATCAGCCTCTCCTGTGAACACAGGATCTGGGCAGATTCCCTCGCTTTTTGGTGTATGACCTGGTGGTGCTTCCTTCACACGTGATTCTGATGCTCTCAGCCTTGGGCAGGGGTCTTGCCCTCAGAGCCAATAAAATCTGACAAACACACAGAGCAGGGGCATAGGAAACCCCTTTCTCTTCTGTATATAGGTAATTATAGAACATTCTAGGGAAGTCTAGAAACCAAGGGCTTCCCATCCCCAGTGCTTGGTTTATTAGCACTTGGATTTAGGTGGATTTTGACTCCTGCGAAGTGGATCTCTCCCCATAGCCCCATCTTTGGGCATCACTGAGAGGTCCCAAGAAGCGTGCAACTGCATCCACCCACGTGAGTAGTGGGTTATATTTGGACGTCTTTTCATAATAAAGGGAGGATTTCCTACAGTTCCCTTACTCGAAGAAGGACTTGGGAGGACAGCAGCACCGTCTTCCACTCGGGGCCCTGACACTCCCTTTCCCTCCCCCCTCGTCCCTCCCTCCATCTCAGACTAGTGCCCAGGTGGACAAGGGTGGGGGACGGGCAGAATCGGGGTGTCAGGGGGCTCCCGGAGCAGGACCTCCTCTTTGCGTCACTTGGGGGCATTGACCTGAGAGACCCATCAGAAGTGCAGGTCCCTTGAGGAGTGGTATGGGTCCTGGCTGGGACCATGGTGCCCACTGCAGGGCGGTCCTGCCCCAGCGGTGCCAAGCAGAGTGGGGTCAGAGCACCTAGGTGGGCAAGGAAGATGTGCAAGAAGGGGGGTGGGTGTGGTGAAACGAGCGTCAGCTTATGTGGGGGCCCTGCCCAAACACGGGGTGCAGAGCGAGGGGAGCAGGGCATCAGTGGGGCACATCTCTGCTGGAGGCAGGAGGCCCCCTGGCCCCACGTCTACACCGGGACCGGCTCAGAACCCACCTGCTGTCTGCAGGCTCCGCCAGCACCCCACCCTCTGCAGGGAGCTGGACTTCTGTCCCCTTCTGCTCACGGGTCCTGGAGGCCCCCTCCCCACAGCCCCCCAGCCCATCAACACCCCCTTGCCCCCCTTCGGCGCCGGGGCTGGGAACATCCTGACTCTGATGCACATGTTTGCTTGGACACATCCTCTCTGTGGTTACCCGTGGTTCTCCAGGGAGCGCGTGACAATGACATGCCTTGGGGAGCCTGGCCGAGGGCTCATGGAGGGGAGCCCGCCTGGTCCCACCGAGGCTCCTGCCCTGCCGCTCATGCGCCCTAGGCCGCAGGGCCACGACCCACACTGCCAGTGCCTTCAGCTTCTAGTTCTGTGGTTAAGAAATCCTGTGTTATATCTCTGCTGCCACTCGAGACGGTGAGGATCCTGGTTTGTTTCAGGGTCTCCCAGAGGCCCTGACAAGGGTGCCCCATCCCCGCCTGGGCCCCTCACTCTGCAGAGTGGGCATACCCATTAGCTCCGCACAGCTCCTGCCCACAGATGTGCAAGCCCATGTTGTGTCTGTGGAGACGCAGTGGATGGATTACTCCTTTAACAAAACTTAGAAACATCTTCGGTATTAAGGCAAGAATGTTTGCAGGGTCCCTCTGTGATACTCCCCCAAGCTGGGTCCTTTGTGTGTGTTTGCACACATGCGTGCACATGTTTCTGGACACATGGAGTTTTAAAGGCACCGCTGGATGCACCCCCACTTGAGAGTCAGTGTTAGGTCCCACCAGGGGCCTTTGACACCTTGGCTCGCCCAGCTCCTCCTGACCCCGGGGCTCCTCCTCTCAAACTGGTGCTGAGCGGCGGTCAGCAGGTGCCCCCCCCCCGCCCAGCTTGCTCCCCATCACAAACCCTGAACCCCCAGCTGGCTCCCCTTCTGCTCAGCCATGCTCCCAAGCGCTGGGTCCAGATGAAAAAGATGAGGAGCAAGACGTGGTCTGTGAGCCTAGCTTTGCTGAGAGGGGCAGCCCCAGGCCCTCTCCCTCCGGCACACCTGTGTGGTGGGGCCTGGGCGCGGCAGAGACATGGGCGTCTCCACACCGCAGAACTGAATCTGGGTCCAATGCGTAGAAAGGCTTTGGACAGAAGGATTGAAATGTCTGGGTTCACCTCATGCATTCTTACCAAGGCTTTTCCTTTTCTTTCTCACGGTAGTACTGGGGGGTCACAATCAAAACCCAATATAACCAGGCATTGTGAAGAAATGATCCAACATTAACTTTGTAAAATGTAATGATGAGTCTATATATTGGAAAGTTATCTTAGGTTTGGTCTATATGTAATTTTTATTTTAAAAACTTCTGTGACAAGATACAAACAAACTATTTTGAGTGCTTTGAAGAAAATCTCTGTTATGTGACTTAGGTGCCAGGCATCTCTGACACTAGAGATTTAGTCTAGGGAATTTGAAACATAATTTTCTGCCAGTAATCTGCCTTGCCCAGTTTAGACAGAATGTATCAATATGGAATAGTTACTTAAAAGCCCCAGCTGAGAAATATTTCCACAGTTCTCCACTCTTGGTGGAGAGGCAGCAATCTGCCCTGGATTGTCAGACAGGGCCACAGATTTAACAAGAGCCCCGCCCGTGCACACACACATGCCTGTGCACACTCATATGCACACACACGCACACCACACTCAGGGGAGGCGGCCTCTGCTGTTGGGAGCGTGGGGAAGGCTGTGAGGGGCCAGCAAGCTTGGGGCTCAGCAGCCCCCTCCCTGGCCTCCCTGGCCTTCCTCGGCCGCCCTGGTGGGTACTGGAGGCCGGCCAGGTGGGGTCTCACCGTGGGATGTCCAGGAGGAGGGCCCTGCCAGAGCATGGGGTATGGTCCCTGCAGTGGACCGAGGGGAGGAGGGCATGGGGTCCCTGCCGGTCAGGGCACTCCAGACCCGGGGCTGCAGGATGAGGCTCTCTCCAGTTGTGGGAACATCTGTGTCATTTTCCTGGGGTCTCACCCCACAGGGCGCTGGAACACATCCTGTAGAAAAGCAGCGGTCAGAGAGGGTGGATTCGGGATCCGACCAAACCTCTGGCTGCACCCGTCCCCCAACACAGGCCTGCACAACGAGCAGAACCTTCAGAGTGCTCCCAGGAGACGGAGATGCCGGCCCCGCACGGCCCCCGGGGTCATCTTCCCAGATCCTTCCTGCCTCCCACACTGACCGTTTCCAGATGCTGCAGATGCAGGACGAGCGGCTCTGAGTGAGGGGCCTTCTCTGACCCCAGCTCCCCTGGCTGGCCGAGGGATGGAATGTGAAGTGGGAGCGTTGGTGGTGTTTTTTCTTACTGTGTGGACATAGCTGGTTCGCCCAGGGAGGACCGAAAATAGGGCACGTCTGTGCAGCTGAGCTGAGTGATTAGCTGTGGCCACAGACGAGGACCAGACAGGGACGCGGGGGATGAAGGACCTGGCCGCAGGGGCTGTGGGCAAGCCCCCCCCCCCCCCCGATCCGAACCCCAGCTTCTTCATTTGCAAAATAAAGGGTCGGGGGGGACAGAGGTTCTGGCATCCAATGGTGTTTCCATACTTTTTCCACAAAATCTACTCTCGTTCATTTGTTGTTTGTTTTGTAATAGCTTGAAAACATCAGTGGTTTTTAGCACATTCGCAGGGCTGTGCGACCACCCGTCAAGTAGGACATTTTTGTTGCCTGTCCCTCCTCCACCGCTCGCCAGCCCCCCGCAAGCGCGGAATTCCTTTCCGTGCATGATTTGCCGGGTCTGGATTTTTGTGTGAACAGGATCGTAGCGCAGGGTCCCTGGTTGGCTGGCTGTTTCCAACTGAGAATCCGTTCTTCCAGCACTGACAACATCTTTTGTTATTTTTCAGACAACACTTTAAAAATCATTCTTAAATATTCTTAAATTCCTTAAATAACCATAGTGTGAAGGTCTTCGCAGTGGAGCAGAATGTGTAAGTCCGAGTTCGTTACTGTTCTGAACATGCCACGCCGTGGTGGAGAGCCCCAGCACGTCTCCGTGAAGCCGGGGAGGGCAGCTGAGACCCTACAGCCAGAGGGAGGGCCACCTATCAAGCTGGCTGAAAAGGGGAATCTGAGAGTCCACACTGGCCCGTCCGGTGGAGCAAACACTGGGTGGAACACTCCAGGCTGCTCCCCAGCACGGGCCGTGGGCGACCCGGGGAGGGGCGGGAGCGTGCGGGGGACTGAAGCCCACGTATACCCTTCCCCCCTAGCCGGCCGCTCCTGGAAGGGCACCGGCCTGCAGTCTGGCCAGCAGGCGGGGCGCCCCTCTCCTCCGCGGGCCAGGCAGCTGCTGGACCCGCAGAGCCTCCCCCTCCCTCTGCCCTGCTGCCCCC